TTGTATTGCTAAGTCGCCACTTCTCATCTTCCAGCTCCACAGCTATACTCCGCGGACTAAAGTTGTACTACGCAGTCGCCAGTTCTCAGCTTCCATCTCCACAGATTCCTCCGCGTACCAAAGTTGTACTACAAAGTCACCAGTTCTGAGCTTCCAGCTCCCCAGCTACTCCGCGTACTACAGTTGTACTACAAAGTCACCAGTGCTCATCTCCCAGCTCCCCAGATACTCCACACCTCTCGCCTGCATTTCGCCACTCGACGCGCACGGTCTCCGCAGAGGGTTGCGCAGGCATCCGCCAAATCGCACTCTCGCCTGTATTTCGCGCACTCGACATGCACGATCTCCGCAGAGGGTTGCGCGGACACCCGGCGAATCGCACTCTCGCCTGCATTTCGCGCACTCGACACGCACGATCTCCGCAGAGGGTTGCGCGGGCAGCCGGCAAATCGCACTCTCGCCTGCATTTCGCGCACTCGACACGCGCGATCTCCGCAGAGGGTTGCGCGCACAGCCGGCAAATTGCACTCTCGCCTGCATTTCGCGCACTCGACACGCCCGATCTCCGCAGAGGGTTGCGCGCACACCCGGCAAATCGCACTCTCGCCTGCATTTCGCGCACTCGACACGCACGATCTCCGCAGAGGGTTGCGCGCGCAGCCGGCGAATCGCACTCTCGCCTGCATTTCGCGCACTCGACACGCACGATCTCCGCAGAGGGTTGCGCGCACACCGGACAAATCGCACTCTCGCCTGCATTTCGCGCACTCGACACTGTAAAGAATGTCTCCAACGTCGCGGGGCGATGATGCAGCCTTGGCAATGCATGGCCTGCTACATGTGGAAGCAAGAAGATGCATTTGTCGCCAAGTACCGGCGCCCGCAGTGCACGTTTTACCGCGTGTGCGAGACGTGGGAAGAGACGAAGGTGTGCGCACAGTGCGGCCGGCGCAAAGCGAAGGCCGGGTTTGCGCCGACGGCATGGCTGCGCACGCGAGGTGGATCCCGAGTATGCTTGGCTTGCACGAGCCAGGCCCATGGGCACGCAACGCGCCCGCGAGGCACGACGCAAAAGGCGAACGCATGGGCAAGGCTGCGATGCACGTTCCAGAGGCTCTCTCCCCAGGCTCCCG